TTAGGACACATGGTGGCAGAGCTTAACCTAAGAACCCAATGACTTGAATCTTAATGTTGTTGAGTCTCAGACTGGAAAATCTTACATGTGGATGAGGGTACTAATAAGTTGAATTTTTTAAAGGTGTTATGGAAATTACAGAACTCTTCTTCCAAAACAATCTCCATGTGCTGATGGCAACAGCCTATACAAGGCATGACATGGTGGTCATGAGTAAAGCACTGTGATAACCACACAGTCCAGACTCCTCTGGATCATAAGAGTCACAAACTTCAACATAATACTATTGTCTGAAGGTTACAAGGGAATTTGCCCATCACCAAATGCTTCATCATTCAATGAAGTTATGAAACCTTCAAAAATATCTGAGATTTTTACATCTCTAGAGTCTTAACCCATTATGAGTCTTGATGAAATCTGCACCACTCCTCTTTAGGTTGAGTCTGTGGCAGTGCAGATATGGTGTGGTCAAGAAGTGCCAAAAGAAGACAAAGAGGGACAAAGGGACATAAATGGGCACTCAACAGTCTCTACATACTCTCAATGACTGTGGGTGTTCTCTGTCCCTGGGCCTGTGGGGAATGAGGCTAATGAGCAGCCGTGGGGTTTACTAGCCCCTTACTCACTCTAGAGCCCTCAGTACATAAAGAAAACACCAGTATTCTTCCCCCTGCATCCTTCTCCATCTCTTCTCTCCTTTCCCATTCCCCTCTTCCTTTTCTCTGTGCGACCCTCTTTCTGATCAGCAGCCAGAAGGATCTGATGCAGGTCTCAGGGTACGACAATGGTTAGTGGGTACAAAGTGACAGAGAAATTTGATCTCTGATATTTCTTCAGTATCCAAGGAAGTCTGATGCAATATGAGAGTGGAGGAAATCTGTGGATCTCTAAGATGTGAACTCTCCTCTGATCCGGACTCTGAGATGATGTCATTTACGAGAAGAATGATTATAAAATTGTAGTTATTTAGTTATAATAATAGCAAAACTCCCACATGGCTCTCAGTGACCCTACTATGACTTTCTTCTTGAGTATGGATGAGACCTGTGGATAGCATGTGACGTCACTCCTCTGAGTAGATCACAGACTAATTGATTTTGAGTCTATCAACTGTGACAATGTTCTAGAAGAACTTGTTCAAGTCAAGTGAGCCCTTACAAGACCCTGAAAGAATCTGAGACAGTGGTTCACTTGCTGTCTTCAAAGACATACACTGTCATGATTTCTATGCCACAGAGGAAATAAAGTCTACCACATGACTATGCAAGAGGATGTGACGCTTCAGTTGAGCTCACACCCCAGCCAGCTACATAAGCACAGCCATATAAAACTTTGAGCAGAGGACCTAGTTGAGCTGTGTTCACACTCTTCATCCACAGAGAATGTGAGTGAACATATGCATGTTGTATTAAGCATCTATATTTGTATGATTTATTACAGAGTAACAGAAAACTAGAAGAAACATCTTCAAGTGAAATCCAGCACTTACCTCACCAGTGTAACAACAAGTCACTTTACATCCAAAGGCAGACAGAGCCACAGCAATGCAAAATTCCAGTACACTTAAAACAGCCACCATAATATCCAGACCCTAGAAACAAGTTTATAACAAAGGATGTGAGGACTAGAGATCACACGTTTCAAACATTTATTGTTAATTGTCACACCAAAAGAGAAAAGGCCTTGGCCTAGAAACATGGCTCCTAATACGGCCCAATCCTAAGCTAATAATAGAGTTTACAGGCTCTTGGGACCTTGCTCCTATGAATCTACAGCAATGGCATCAGCATGCATAAGACCCACGCAAACTCAAGCCATCAAAAATCCAGCATAGAACTGGGTAAATCTTAGCCAAAGTACTATTGGCACCTGATTACTGCTGGGTGAGGAAGAGCTGATCTTTAAGGGGGTGACTCTCAATAGGCTGACTAGACCCCAGTGGATGAACTTTCACTGAGGGATGTCTGAGTACATTAACTTGATTTAATAGACCTTAACATAAATAACAAAATGCATATGAAATCTGGTGGAGGCTATGAAAGGGTGCTGATGGGGAAGGAGGTATAAAGATGGTTAAGGTGTTTTGTATGAAGTACTCAGAAATTCAATTAATTTTTTAATTCAATAAAAAAATTTAAAAAGAGTGAGTTAAGGATTAGGCTGTATCAGCTAATTCTTGATCTTCTAAATGTCACTGTCTCATTTTTTGAAGCATGTATTAGTTTAAACCCTATGAAACTATTCTCTTCCTAGGCCAACTGTAGTTGGGTTTTGGTACAGCTTAATAATTCCAGTTAGTATGATCTCTAACTGTTCTTTCTTACAAAGAACTCACCTTATCTGAGCTTTTTGTTTAATTATAAGCTTTGTAATGTATCTTGTTCTGTCAAGAGGATAGGAGTTTCTCTGAGTTACAGAATATTCTTAATTCTCGAATGATAAACTAGTGATCATGCATGAAGTCTGTGCTCCAGGGGTGGCCAGACAGCTCAGCAGGAAGAATTCTTGCCACATTAGCATGAGGACCACAATTCAGACCCCTGGCACCTACATAAATGCTGGATAGGTTGATGGCCTGCCTGTTAATCCCAGTGTGTGGGAGGCAGAGACAGGGAATTCCTGGAGCAAGCTGTCTAGCTATACCAGCTCAATTGGTAAGCTTTGGGGTCAAGTGAGAAATTCTACAGAAGATACCTGTCTTCAAACTTTGGCCTAGGCACACCAACATGTATATACACACACATACATATAGGTGTGTGTGCACCTATATACATGCATACACTTACACAACCAGAGCATACATATATATGTGTGTTCACACATTCACACGTACATGTGCACATGCCAAAGTCTGTCAAATGACTCTATAAATACCTAGGTAGGAATAGATTAGACACTTCAAATTTAAAGAAGCCCTTACAAGGATCTTCTGTTCTAGAATCCATCATGACCTCAGCAAGGCGAGTGATTGAGATGAATGGGAATCCCACTATATGTAACGAATAGACAACTTGCTTTAAAATAAAATCAATAATTCAAAGAAAGCAGGAACAGAGCATTACAAGAATGACAAGGCGCTATTAGGATGAAGTATTGATGTGAAGTCACGGGTCTGTGTACATGAAAGCAAACTTAGGAAGCTATCAGCCTCAGAGGTGCATCCATACCACTGTACCCAAATGTCTGTCAGTTAGCAAACCTTTAGATATAGCCAGCAAGATTTTTTTTCAGAACTACATTAAACAAATTTGAAAATAGGTGAATTCAAGGTGGAAAATTCCAGAACACTGTCTTGACTGAGTCGATTTCCAAGTGACTTTGAAAAATTGTTCCCTTCACTAAGTAAGCATTTGTATCTTATAAATGAGAGGTAGGAAATTGAATAGCTTTCTTTCAAAACTTCTAGCATGCCCAAGGGTAATACATTAGATTACCAAAGGCCCTCAAGGAATTATTTTGGGGTAAATAAACAGGGCTTGAGATTTATACAAACTTCACTAGGAATGAAATAAAGACAATGAAATTTATTCCACAAAGAAGTAAGGATGTTGACTCTCTGTTTACATGAGTTTCCTCTCACATGGCCACAAGGAATGATGAGACAGGAACCTCACCCTGAAAAAAACGGTTGGTCTAGTTCTCAACTATTTCCAATGTCCTAAAGTGATTCCACAGTTGCAGAATGGAACTGCTGCTTTTGCCAGAGTCTGTGTTCCAGCCTTGCTTCAACCATAAAATCTATGAAAACAGAGGCCACTCACCATTAAAATGGAAGTGGTCATGCAAAAATTTCCTTCTGTGTCATTATGGTTACAGTAATAGAGTTGGAATGAATAAATGCCTGGGCTCAGCGCACTAATGATGATCCCTGAGAAGGCAAACACGGAGCTGGTAACGTTCAAGCCCAGACTGCTTGCAACCTTGAAAGGAAAGAAAACTGATGAATCCAGAAGCCTCACATACATCTCCATCCATCACTTTGAAGCCCCAGTTCTTTCCATACACTTTTAATCCTCACTATTTTGATGAATTAAATAGTATCCTAATTTGTCTCAATTCTTACTTTTAACTTAAATGTCTTTTCAAAACAAAAAATGTGAACCTGTCATTTCTAAGACTAAATCCTTCAGATTATTGTAGAGGTGGAAAGCTTTTTCAATGTGATGGTAATTAAGAACTTTGGAGCAGGAAGAGCTCCTAGACAAGAGATAAGACTGGGGAGACAAGCTGGAGTCATCCTCCATCCTGCCCCCTATGGTCAACCTGGAAGGAAGTCTTTGTAACCCCTGCGACCACACGTTACCTTGCTTAATTATCACATGTACCTTTTACTTGATTGCCACCTATGTGCTGTTCTGTCTTTTACTTGTACTTCCTCACATGAATATAAAAACCCCTAAAACTGGAGGGGGGTATTGGCTCCTTTACAGAAGGATCAGTGGATCAGTCTGCTAGTATAAAATTAAATCCCTCTCCTCACCTGACTTTGGCTGTTGGTCTCTGATTTTCCTGGAACAAGATGACTCCCATGGGCACTGGAAGCATACTCCAAATTTCCCTGGTTAGTGGTTTCAAAACTATTGCACTTAATCTTTTATAAATTTTTTTATTTATTTTGGGGGTATGCACTTGTGGAGGTCAGAAGAGAACATTTGGGAGCTAGTCTCTCCTCCCATCTTGCTGAGGCAGGGTGTTTCTTTGTTTTTGAAGTTGTGCAGCCCAGCTAGCTTTACATGGGTTCTAAGGATCATACTCAGTTTTTCAGACTTCCATTGCAAACCCCTTTAACCACTGAGCCATGTCCCTGGCCCATCTACTACACTTTTGCTGCAGAGCCCTGTCTGTCCATCTCTTACAACACTTTGCTGCAAGGTTCCCTGAACTCTCATGCATGTAGAGATGCCGCATGCCACTCAAGAGTCCTATGCCTTTTGCAAATTTTCCTCCCTGCAATTCTTTTCTAGTACTGAAGGTTTATTAACATTTTATAAGAAGTAAAATTTCCCAGGAAAATGTGATAGGTTTGGTGAACATGTATGAGGTATGTACTACTGGTCAAAACTGAAGGGCATGCAAAGGAGACAGATTCAAGGACAGATTTGGAAATTTTATAATGTTCACACTTTAGAGGTTGATGTTTCTCTTTTGAATAGGAACTGAAGTATGGTCATAGCCAGCATCATGTTGTTGAGAACTTGTTTGGGGTCTTTTAATTGGCTTTTTGACAGATCTCCTGAATTCTCTGCACAGCAACTACTTTGATACAATATCCAATCACCTGTCAGGAACTTTTTTCTCAGCCAATTGTTTACTGCAAATTTTAAAGGGAATATTCTTCTAGATAAAACTCAAAACCCTTTTGATTTTTCACTTGCTTAAATTTTTAAGGAAACATTTTTAACACCTTTGAGGAATTGATATTTAGATTAAATCCTTTCTTTTTACTTTATATATGTATGTATGTATCTATATATGTATGTGTGTACTTAGACAGGGTCTCCTAGTGGCCCCAGCTGTCCTGGAACTTGTTATGTAGACCAGGCTGGCCTCCCTCTGTGATCTACCTGCCTCTACCTCCTGAGTACTGGGACTAAAGGTGTGTCACCATGCCCCACTTAATCCTTCCTCTTTTGAGACCATAAAAACAAAACAAAACAAAACACTCACCAGCCCTTTTGTAGTTCTTCTGGCTGCTGCAATGGAAAATGATCCAGATATAATAAACTAGGAATAAGAGGGGAAATCCAGGTTTAAAAGCTTTATCTATTACTGAAAATATAAATTACCGAAACCTACTCCTAAATTGTGTGTGTGTATGAAACAGACTATCTTAAAAGAAGCACAAAAGTTTGAAAAGTTTCCCCCATTTTCTAGAAAATAGAAGAGTTCTACCAGAAAGATAATTGGTATAATTTATCAATTTATTAAATCTTTGACAGTTTCATAGGTGTTTATGTTGAATTTTGGCCCTTTCACCCCATTACCTTCTCTCAACTCCTGACCTTTATTAATGATTATTTTCTTCTATATAATTTTTTTTAAAAATATGCTTAACAGTAATGATAGTAAAACTGTAAGTCCTGAAGGATAAATTTTCTGTATTTCTAAAATGAGTTATTGCTCATATGACACCAAAATGAATGAGTTTTTCATTTAATTAATGCAATTAAACATTATTCTCATTTAAAATAACTATCAAATAATTATGAGCAATGTATTGGCAGGGGAAAAATTAACTGTTTATTAGAGGCTGATTAGCATACACTAGTTCATTTGGCCCCATCAACTTGGCGATTATTTTCAGTTATCTGATATGGCTAATCAACACTTTCAGACTCACCACCTTCCAATACTCTCCTGTATAGATTTCTGAGTTAGCATTCTAACTTTGATTTTAGGTTTAAATAGTCTGTCTTCATTCCAAAATGAGTAAATTAATCAAATAGCTTGAAAAACATTTCTTTTTTAAATTTTTAAAAATATTTTATTTATTATTTTTATTTTATGTATATGAGTGTATTGCCTGCATGTATGTGAGTGCATCTGTGTTATGCAATGCCACGGAGGTCAGAAAAGGGCTTCAGAGTCCCCTGGAACTTTAGCTAAGGACGGCTTGTAGCTGCCATGTGGGTGCTGGAAATCCAACCCAGGTCCTCTGCAAGAGCAGTCAGTGCTCTTAACCACTGAGCCATGTCTCTAGCCCCGAAAAACATTTCTTAATTTAAAGATATAAAGATGATACATAGGAATGAAATTGCCAATGGGGAACAGGGGGCAGAGAAGACTATCTTTCATAGTATTGAAAGTCAGTCATGAACACACAGGACTGTAGGAAACCAGGATGCCAGGCCCTAGGGTGAGATTAGCCTAAAACTATTGAGTCCAGGCTGCATTCTCTGCTAAAGGGAGGGGCACTGAAAACAGTAGCTCTGATAATCCATCTTGCAGAACACTGACAGACTGGCAGGAGACAGCGTCCTGGTCATAAGTGCAGGCTCCCTGCTCTGTGGGAACGTGTCTTGGTCAAAACTCTTAGCTCATCTCCTTGTCCTGAAGAAATAACTCAGCTCTCCTTAGCTAAGCGATTAGGTCAGGTTAAAGGTTTATTCCTGAACTAAAAGTTAAAAGTTTACCATGCTTTTAACTCTAAGAAAGAAAACATTGTGACCAATAAATTACCAGATGGGCATCAGTAACCTTGAGTAAAAGTTTAAGCATCCTTCTGGCACCAACTGACAGACTGTATGTCTTGCTTCTTTGTACCCTCAATCTTTGTATGTGACTGCCACATCCCACGTGATTGCCAGTTCCTTGGGATGTATAAAAACCATCTGAATTTTATAATAAACGGTTGTGGAAAAGACACAAGTCCCAGGGTCCAAGACTGTCACTGGTCGGTATCGCCATCCTTCACGAGAGTGAGGTTCTCCACCAAGCAAGGCACACTTGGGTCACCCAATATGGGATGATCTTCCAAATGGTGATGTGTATTGAATCTTAAATGTCTTTCAAACACCTTTGTGTTAAAACTCTCTCCCTCCCCATCATGTTGCTACTGAACTATGGTGGTACCTTTCAGTGGTTGGGCCTAGCAAGAGGCCTTTTATGTAAGAAGCAAGCTCTTAAAGAGGACAGTGGTAGTGAATAAAAACAAGATACCATTATATATATGTATATATATATATAAATGAATATATATGAATATAAACGAGATACACATATATGTGCATATATGTGTGTGTGTATGTGCGTGGGTATGTGTGTGTGTGTGTGTGTGTGTGCGCCACAGTGAAGCCTATTATTTTATATGCTAACTTAATAAAAATAAAATTAAGATAAGAATGAAGATATTTAGAGGATATATGTGATAGGTAGGAATGTTGGAGAGAGCAAGCAGATGGATGGAGGAAGGCACCGAGGCACAGGTGGAATTCTCAGCAGGATACAGATTTATTTTGCACAGGGCACCTTTCCCTTGGGGAAGGGAAAGATGTCAGGGAAGGAAAGGGAAGGGAAGGGAAGGGAAGCCCACGGGCTGTAAGGGAAGGGAAAGGAAGGAGGTCAGAGAAGGGAAGGGTATCAGGGAAAGATGTCCATGAAGGGAAAGATGTCCACGCATGGGTTGTGAGCTGGGACTTTATATATGGGGGCTTCAGGGTGTGGAAGGGGGGAATGTTTGGGGGAGAAATCAGGGAGGGGGAAGCAGGAAAAGCCTGGCTCCGTTCAGTCTGCCAGGTGGGATTAGGGTTTGGAAGTGTTTACTTTTTCTCTCTTAAGATAAGAGAAAAGCTTGTTGTGATAAACAGCTTCCAAAATCTCTGGTTAACAGGTAGAATCTGCTTATCTTATCTTTGGAGATCAGAGGAGAGGCAAGCTGCTTCTCAGCAGAGTTTGTTTCCCTTGACTCCAAAGGTCAAGGTGAGGTTCCTGTTGGGGCGGGGGGTGGGGTGGGGGAACTGCTGCTGTTTGGAACCCTAACAATATGTACTAGTTACTTTCTATTGCTATGATAAAAACAATCATCGAAACCAACTTGGGGAGGAAAGGTTTTATATCAGCTTCAGCTGACAGTATCTCATGGAGGGAAACCAAGTTCAGGGCAAGAAACAAAGCACAGACCATGGAGGAGTGCTGCCTACCGGCTTGGTCCCGTGGCCTGTGCTCAGTCTGCTTTCTACACAACACAGGACCACTTGCCCAGGGTGGCACCACACACAGTGGTCTGGGGCTTCCCATATCACTCAACAATCAAGAAAATGCCTCACAGACATAGCCACAGGCCAATTCAATGATGAATATTCCTCAACTGAGGTTCCTTCTACCAAGGTGTGTCAAGTAGACACCTGAAGCTATCCAACACAATATCATCAACTAACAGTTATTTGAGAAAGATGCTTGAACACAATGGTTAAACTAAGTATTATCTGGATATGAACACAATTTATATTACCAACATCTAAGACTAGAACTTAAAGCTAACATAAGTGATTAACAGTCAGTAAAGCACATGGGGGAAAACATTAGATTCATTTTATTCATTCCCATTAGCTACAGACAAGGGTGAAACTTCCCAGCTATCGAAGTGAATCATAATTAGCACAACTTAATGATAGCAAGTCCTCCCCCACTGCAAACAGTTGGTTTGAGAATATGCATGTAACATATTTCTGAGCAATGAGACGTGTTAACAAATGAGATTGCATTGCTCACTGAAAAGCTTGTACCACTGAATCAGCATTGGAAATGGCAAGCCATTGGACTTCATGTTTGAGGGAATCAATGTTGTCAATGTCCATTCTGATTTGAGTCTATGGTTACACACTTCTGTAATCTATCTTCATTGACACATATTAAATATTTAAACTACTTATGATATTGTATTATTATTGCTGTTATATATGAGAAAATAGAGCCAAAGGAAATTTGAAGATTTTTTTTTCCCCTCAAAGTTGTAGAGATACATGATAACATTAAGACAGTACAGGATTCCATGAGTTGTTGGCCAGGGAATCCTCAGAGGCTCCCAAAACAGTACAACCTACTGTCATTGCTCTGGGAACCCCACCAGAACTCGAGAGCAAGACCCTATTGCTGAAGACATCATACCCCCTAGATAAAAGGCACAGAGAAACCAATCTAGTGCAGTTTTCAGCCTTAATCAGAGAAACTTCTTTTGCAATGGGTACTCTTCAAAGCAGGGATTCAACTGGAAAAAATGTTGAAAACAAGCCAGGAGTGGTGGCTCATGCCTTTAATCCCAGCACTCGGGAGGCAGAGGCAGGTGGATCTCTGTGAGTTCAAGGCCAGCCTGGTCTACAGAGTGAGTTCCAGGGCAGCTGGGGCTACAGAGAGACCCTGTCTCAAAAAGACCAAAAAAAGAAAAAAAAAATGTTGAAAATAAAGTGACTTCTAGTGCTTAGGATCCCAAAAGGGACCTCTATTTCACCCCTTCCAAGGTCCAAGAGTGAATGGAAGGACTATGGGAGCTGAAGGATAGACAGGAGAGGGATGGGGTGTAGTTCTCTGGATACAACGTGGTCACTGCAATCATGAGGACAGAGCTGCTGTGAATGCCTGAACAGACCCTAAGAAGATGAATGAAGGAAGAGGGAGGGAGAGAGGAAGGAAGCAAGGAAGGAAAGAAGGAAGGAAAGACAGAAGATGGAGTGGGGGAAGGGAGGGAGAGAGGGAGAGTGAGAAGAAAGGGAAGAAAGAGGAAGGGAAAGAGAGAGGAAGGACAGAAAGAAAGAAGAAAGGATCGTGAGAGTAGGGGGAAGACTGCTTGGGAAGAAGGTTGGTGGTGGTGGGAGAGGGATGAGAGAAGGTAGTAGGGAAGGAATGTGACCATAGTACATTGTATATAAGTATTATATTGCCAAATTTTCAAAATTGTTAAATACAAAAGAGATAAGAGGCAAAAATAAAAAATAAATAAACTCCGGATTTAGCGACAATGCTATTAGCTCCAATTATATCAGAAGATCCGTGACTTACCATCACTGAGCCCCAAATTGGGTATGATATGTACACTGACACAGGATGAAATGATCTGAATGGCAGTGTGACACTCATCATCAGGATTCCTATGCTGAAGTTCAGAAGGGCAATCATAATCTGCACGACCTAGAAATGACATAAAGAGAAACAGATCATCCCCCACGAATGCGTGTCCATCTCACCATCTGGACAACCCCTAAGTTGCTCTCTTCCACCTTTGGAGATATGAAGTCCTGGACAATTAATCCCTTTTCATTTCCTTTCCACTTAAGAAACTGCGGATACACTTTAACAATTTTTCCCTGCAGAAAGTCTATCATTACCATTGTCATTTCAAGGTGGAAAGGAGTATGCCAAAACCTGTCCAAAGATGCTTCTGATACCATCATCCTACTCTTCTTGGCCACATGCTCACACAAGAATGGCCCAGGAATTAGGAAATGATTACTGTAGTAAGGAGAAGTCATTTGGGGAAACATAATTAGAAGCAACATGATGAAATAAAAAGAGCAAATGTGGTGTTCCCTTGGAATCTGGGACCAGAGGAGAGAAATGCAACTAGACTTCCTTAACGATAGGGAAATTCAGGGCTGGAGAGACAGCTCAGTGGTTAAGAGTGCCTACTGCTCTTGCAGAGGGCCCAAATTTGATTCCCAGCACCCATACTGGGTAGCTCACAACCATCTGTAACTTGAGCTGCAGGAGATTTGACAGCCTCTTTTGATCTCTGTAGGCTTCCAGACTCACACATGCACACACACACACACACACACACACACACACACACACACACAGAGGTTAAAAATAAATTTTTAAGAAAAGAAATTGGAGAATTAGATAGTAATCAGTCTCCAGACACTAGAAAGAATGACAAAAGAATGCAAAGAATGAATGAAAAGTTGTGAGATGGAATGAAATGGGATGCTCAGCAGAGAGGAAATGTATGGCAGTGGATATGTGTTTTTAAAGGTTGGAAGACCTAAAACTAATTACCTAGGTGTTCATCTTTAAAAATTCAAGAAAGAAAGGCAAACCAAAGCAAACTGAAGGGGAAAATAAATTTTAGAATAGAAATTAATCAAAGATCAGAAACAAACAGGCCAAAACAACAAAATCTACAGCTATCAATAATAAAAACAATTACCTGCTAGCCAGGCTAGGTGAGATTTTAAAAAAGGAATGAGGCCACCAATTTGTAATATCAGAAACCGTGTAAAGCACATGGCCTTGGTTACAGTAAATAGGTCATAAAACAAAACCAAAAACCATGAACTTGGCAGGGAGGGTGGGGTTGATAGAGGTGAGGTGGGGAGATGAGAGAAGATGGGGAAGAGAGACTAGTCAGAATGTATCATATACATGTGTGGAACTGTCAAATAACAAAATAATTTTTAAAAATCAAAGCACAAATTAATTTGTTAATGGGAGAAAAAGGACATTGTATAAAGGTCATCATTACAGAACCAATGGACATTAAAAGGTAAACAAATACCATGAGAAACTCTGTATCTACAAATTTTATAACACGGATGAAATGAAGAAATCCTTGAAGAAACAATGTGACAGAACTCAAAATGAGGAGCAGCAATCTGCATAAGATGATGTGATTATATAAAATGAGTCAACAAGAAGGGCTACAGGGAATCAAAGGATACTGAGGAGAGAGAATCAGTTTTCTCCAGGGTCCAGCTCCCTGTGAGGTTACCCTACATGGGCAGCCCTAAGCACTGGAACACAGGAGCACCGCTAAATGGATTCATTGCATTATACGTATGTAACAATAATAGTCAAAGAAGAGGATAAGAAACTGTAAGGGAGTGGAGAGAGCATATGGGCAGAGTTGGAGGCGAAGGGAGAGGTGGGAATAATGCAAATACAGTACTCATTTTCGAAATTCTCAAAAAATTTAAAAAATATTTAAAAATGAATAAGCAATAAGTAATATCCCTAAACAGAAAACGTCAGGCTCAGAAGAGCTCAGAAGTGAATTCTACCAAATTCTTGTTTCATTGTTTATTTTGTACTGTTTGGAGTCAAAGCCCTTTCACATGCTAAGCAAATACTGTATCACTGAGTTATAGTCATAGCCCTTCCTTTTTGAGATAGGATTTTGTTATGCCTTCTAAATTCCTCTATCAATAGATAATGTTGGTGAAAGAAAGAAAGAAAGAAGAAAGAGAGAGAGAGAGAAATAAAGAAAGAAAGAAAGAAAGAAAGAAAGAAAGAAAGAGAAAGAAAGAGAAAGAAAGAGAAAGAAAGAAAAAAGTATATTAAAAGGTACTTAATATCATGTCACCAGGGAAATTAAAACAGCAGTGCCATGCCACTGAACACCCATTAAACTGTCTAAAACTCATAACACTGACATCATCAAATGCTAGTAAGGAAGTGGAATAATAGGAACACTCACTTATCACTGTTGGAAATACTCAGATTAGTATAGTCCCTTGCAATAGTCAGGTATGTACTTTAGAAAGTAAACATAATTTTGCAATGTTGCTAGGCTTTGAAATAGGTTTGTCCCCTAGAAGGTCAGCCACCAGAAGAGTGATCTCCCATATGGTAGTGCTGAAGTGATAGAATTTCAGGAGGTAAGGGCTTGGAAGATACTACTGCTGGAATTATGGTTTGAATATGAGATGTCCCTCATAGCCCCAATGCATTAGATGCTTTATCTCCAAATAGTGGTGCTATTTTAGGAAGCTCTGGAAACTTTACTGTGAGGTCCAATGGGAAAAGTAGATCACTGGGGGATGTGTCCAAGTGGGTGGGAGTAGGTGTCATCCTTTGGCCCTCTCTGTGTCTCCATCATGATTCCTGACACCAGTGAGGTAAACAAACTCTTCTGTCACATCCTCCTGATGCCGTGATATTTTACTCAAGCACCTGGATCTGAGCAACCATAAACTGACCCTCAGAAACCTTAAGCAAATAAATCTTTCATCCTTTAAGTTGTTTCTCTTCAGTGATGTAAGTTGTGTTGATACTTATCCTTTGGAACTGGCTAGCAAGAGAAATTTGCAAAAGCTTCAAGATGTACATCACAGAAGACTTAATTCTGGTATGAGTTTAAACAATTAGAATGCTAAAAGGAATTTAGGTAGCGAAGAGCCAGCTCATGGAGTTTATATAGGTGCTTGGACTCTGTTGGGAATTGGAATAGGTGCCACATGTATTTTATGTTGGGAAAGAATTTATCTACCATTTGTCTATGCATCAAGACTTTGAATGATTCTAGGTATAAAAGTAATGGACTAATTAATCTGGTGGAGGAAAGACAACATGCATTCAGGATATGGCATGTTTATTGCTGGCTTTTATTCAGATTTACAATGAGAATATAATTAAATTAGCAGGATATCATATTATTTTTTTTCAGATAAGTTCTAAAAATTAAACACCTGTGACTCCAAGACCATTTGATGCATCCCAAGGCCAGCAGGACACTGGCTGGCATTACATTACCATTTATGAATTTACAACACCACTGCTCTCTTAGAATTGGTTTACCCCAAGGATTTTGGGTTCTCCCCTCAAGAATTTCTCTGCCATCCTTTTCCACAGTTTTGAGTGCAGGCGGAAAGGCAGTCCCTGCTGCTGTGCACCAAGGCCAGCTTCCAGTGTGGTCTGTTCAGTTCCCCACATGGTTGTCATGGCAGAAGCAGTGCTACAAGAAGAAGAAATGCAATTTAGGATGCGTTCCTAGAAAAGAGAGAGACAGAGAGAGAGGGAGGAGAGACTCTAAACACAATGTGATACATACATAGATTCCAAGTGTTGAACAGAAGCAATGTGGACAGAATTGATTTAAATGAGTTAAATAAATTTGTGGGCCCCACAAGTTAGGGAAATTTCACACTGTAACTATAATACTAATTTATTCTGTATCTGATTATGTATTTACCTCTACCTGTGAATTTTACACAGATAATTTTCTGATAATCATCATTATTTGTTTTATCTCTGAATAGCTCTAATATTTTCTGTACACTTAGATTAGTAATCATGAATTCTTTCAGTTTTCAAATTTCGTTTGAGAAAATAACTTTTATGTATATTTTTATTGAATTTTTGTGCATTTCCAACAATAAATCTTAATCATATCTAAACTCTTTCCCCCTTAACCCCCCCCATTACCAGGATATCATATATTCTGTCATATATGAATCCTATCTGGTCAAGCATTTGTACCCAACATGTCCCTCGGTGCAAGTTCATCCACCAGAGTCTAGTCAGTCTATCTAGAGTCTCTCCCTTAAAGAAGATCAATTCTCCCTCACCCAGCAGTAATCAGTTTTAATCTAATTCTAAAGACTTTTCTGGTTACAACAGTATTTGCGACCAGGCATTCTTTTTCATCAGCACTTTGAATATGTCATCTCACTCTCTCTGGGCCCACAAGGATTTCTGCTGAAAAATCCATTGCCAGACTAATCAGAATTCCCTTGTATGTGTCTTCTTTTTTTTTCTCACAATGCTTTTAAAGTTCTCTTGTCTCTACTTTTGACGATTAGATCATAATGGGTTTAGAGAGAACATCTTTGGAGGACTTCTGCTTCTAGGACATGTCTGTCTTGGGGTTTGGTCTTTACCAATTCTTTCATTAAACAAGCTTCCTGTTCTTTTCTCTGTCATTTGTCCTTCCGGTCTCACAATGAGATGATTTTGTTCTGTTGCTCCAACAGTGCTTTAGGGTTTGCTACATACTTTTAAACTCTTTTCTTTTCTTCTTTTTCTGCTGTGGGAAATTTTTAAAGCCCCATTTTTAAGTTCTCTGATTTTGAAAATATACCCGGTCTAGTCTGCTGTTGAAACTTTCATTATAATTATTAAATTCTTCACCTTCAAAATTTCTGTTGGGTCCATTTTGTGATATGTATCTTTGTGAAATATTTATTCAGATCATGAATTTCCTTATTTCATTGAAGTATCTGACCATGTCTTCTCGTATTTCAATGAATTTCCTTTTGACTATATGATGTGAATGAGATGTCAGGGAATTCACATGTTTCTGTTTCTTTAGAGTCTGTTACTGAAGAATTAATGTGTGCCCTTGATGGACTTGTGTTTCCTTAATTTCTAATCTCCTTCAAGTCCTTACATCTTGTGGAGGATACTATGATAGCAGGGTTTATGAAAGAAGGTTACATATTATATATTATCAGGTATATTTTAACCTATCTCTAGACTTTATTATTGCCTGAGAAGAACACAAATTCTCAATTTAGAAGACCAATCTTAAATCTAAAGTACAGCCACTGATATATTTTTATTTAGGAAAACTGAACCCTCTTGACATCAGTTTAAATCATAATAATAAAGCCCATAATTTGGACATTTAGCAAGTTGCCCCCAGAAGGGAGGAAATACAATTTTCATTTCAAATAGAAGAAATACAGTCTTCCTAAAATTTCTCCTTCAAAAAAGTAGTGTGAGATTTGTGTGGTGGTGGCGGCACAGCTTTAATCCCAGCACCTGGAAGGCAGAGGCAGGCGGAGCTCTGTGAGATCAAGGGAAGCTTGGTCTGCATAGTGGGTTCAGGCCAGCTCCGGCTACAGGGAGACTTTGTTTCAAATAAAAAAGGAAGTATAGCCGGGCGTGGTGGCGCACACCTTTAGTCCCAGGACTTGGGAGGCAGAGGCAGGTGGATCTCTGTGAGTTCAAGGCCAGCCTGGTCTACATAGTGAATTCCAGGACAGCTGGGGCTACAGGAAGACCCTGCTTCAAAAAGACCAAAAAAAATAATAAAAAGGTATAATATGTGGAACACTACACAGCATACGTTATTTCAAAGCCCTACCAATGTTTCCTAAAACAGAAAAACTAGATGTGACAAGAGCCCTGAGTGCTCTGGCAATCTAAGTACCCTTCTTCATAGAAGGTCCAACAATTAACTTAGTTGACTAGCTGAACCTCAAATTTTTCAGCAATAATCTTTCTTACCTGCCCTCCTTGTCCAATCAGTCAAGAAAGTCTGATCCCACACAACCATTTTTTCCAATCTGTATTTCTCCCACTTAACCAAAAAAACCTCACCATCCTATTTTATAGCCTTTTATCATTGCTCTGTCTCCTTCTGAGCCTTGTATGTTTAATCCTAAACCCTAATAATCATGGTGGTCATTTTAAAGTACAAAATAATTGTAATCTCTTATCTCATATTTCAGCTCAAATCTATATTTCTAAACTTAGCTTTGTTTTCTCCCCTTTGATTTTTGGAGCTTCAAAAATATTGGACTTATTTTGGTTTTTCCACATCAGCAATTTTATTCCTATATTGGAGTTGCGCATATATGCAGCCCTTTGCAGGAATTCTCCACCACTTCCCTTTTCTGCTCTACCACAACAATAGAAAGTTCACTGGTCATCCATCTTTGGGCACTGACAGCATCTCACAGTCTCTGCTTTCTCTCACACACAACTCCCCACTGCACAGGAGTTACTCAACCAATAGTAGTTAGGAAGTGTTTGAGAAATCTTCACGACTTGCCTTATAAGCAATAGAAGAAAAATTATTGTGAAATACCAGGAGCTGTTTCTTTTTAGGGCAATTTGATCTGTACCTTAATTTTCTTGTTTTTTGCAAAGGAGTCTTTTGGGTTTATTTTTCTAGGAACACATTCAGAGGATTTAGAAAATGTAGATTCTATCTTACTATAACCAAATTAAGACCCAAGTAGGGCTAGAGAGACAAATCAGTCTACAAATTGTTTGCTTTTAAAGCAAGAGTTCCTTAGTTTGATTCCCCACCACCCACATTAAAAAAAAATGTAATCTCAATTACAACTGGGGAGACAGAGATAGGTAGATCCCCGAGGCTTGCTGACCAGCCAGCCTAGCCTAGTTGGCAAGTACTAGGCCAGTGAGAGACTCCTCAAAAACAAAGGTGGAAAACACCTGAGAAACAACACCCAAGGTTGTCCTCTAGCCTCCACATACATGTACACACCCGTTCACCTGTACACATGTGTGAACACAAACACAAACCAAAAAACCTAAATAAATGCTCTAGCTCCTTGTTCTAGGATGATTTTGGAAATTGCTACATTTGAAGTCAAGCAACCAAACAACATAGTATTAATGTCCTAAGTGTTTTGCAGTAGAAGCCGTGCATTTCTGAAGCCTCCTTCTGAGAGCTTTGCAGGAATACGACCTTTTACTGTCTTCCCATTTTCTGCTGAAACCTGCTTTTTGCATCCTAATGGTTAACTATAGGGTTACTTATTCCTAGGAAAAATAACAAGATCGTAACTCTTAATAATCAGTATACTATATTTCTTTGCTTTTTTTTTTTTTTTTTTTTTTTTTTTTTTTTTTTGTCTTTTTGAGACAAGTTCTTCTTGTAGCTGCATCTGGCCTGGATTGGCTAATGGAGACCAAGCTGGCCTCGAACTCACAGAGATCCACCTGCCTCTGCCTCCAGAGTGCTGGGATTAAAGGTGTTCACCACCACGCCCGGCTTTCTTTACTTTTACAAAACCCAGCACATCTGAGAAATTTCAGGTAACAGAATCCTGTGAATCATCAAAGCAGACCACCAAAGATTTGTAACTACCATGGAATGGTAACTACCCTGTCATCTACATATTTGATATATTTAAATAAAATTCCCTATAGAAGTCTATGTGATAGCTTCTATTTTCTTCAGTTTACTAGGTTTTTCAAAATAAATGTTTTTCCTTCCTCTAAAAACTGGTCTTCCAAGAATTGACCACTTCAAGTGGCCCATGGTGAACTAGGGCACAGAAATGTTGTAAAACATCACTGGTGGTTCTTCTAAGTTTATGACTCTTCCAGTAAGACTAAACAGGAACTGGATCCAAAGCGACTCATGGCATTTCTCATAATTCTTTAGTAGAACAGGCTATGCTCTAGATACCCAAAGCTGATGCTCTTTTTCTGAGGGATACTGCCAATAAATTTATGTAGCCTCTTCCCACATTCACATCACAGAAATATTTTATTTATTACTTTTATTTTATGTGTATGAATGTATTGCCTGCATGTATGTGAGTGCACCAGTGTCGTGCAATGCCGAGGAGGTCAGAAGAGGGCTTCGGATTCCCCTGGAACTGGAGTTAAGGACGGTTTGTAGCCACAATGTGGGTGCTGGGAATCGAACCCGGGTCCTCTGCAAGAGCAATCAGTACTCTTAACTGCTGAGCCATCTCTCCAGCCCCAGAAATATTTTTTTTAAAAGAAATATATTTTAACATAAAATAAATTCTCTAAGGACAAAAATGTGTTTGCAGTCTAGAGCCAGTGCTCCAATTTTCAAATAAAGCAAACATTTATTTATTTAGAGGATATTACACAGACATGAGAGATAGTGCCTCCAGATTGGGAGAGAATCAGCAATAGTTTTATAAAATTATTTGTGACATTCATGATATTTTTGGCAAGTTAGTATCACTATTTCTTGCCCCTGATACAGAGATGGAGAAGTATAGCCAGCCCTCAACAGCTCCAAACAAAGCACACCACCAATCATGTTTCCTCACTTACAGTAACATCTCCCTCATGGGTCATTATTACAAAGGAAGAAAAAGGAGAATGGCCTAAAAGAGCTGTCTCGCCTATGACAAGTTATAAAAATAAAAAAATATAAAATAAAACAGAGTCAACAGAAAGTCTGAACCTGGATAGCTTTTACCAAGATGATGATGGTGATGTGGAAAAATGATAACCTGGGCTAGGCAAAGCCTGGGCTAACATCCAGTAAGTCTAGGTTGTATTGCAATCTCTTCATTAACATATAAGTTTCTGATCATTTTGGGGAAGGATGACATTGGGCACAATTTCCTACAGTCTTCTTTCTGATTGGCACACTGTAAATATCTTCATGGTATCTTCCATTAAAATATTTCTTATGAGGAGTTTCAGTTTTTGCCTGGGTATTCCATAAATGTGCTGAAAATTGTTGGAGGTCTAAGTAAGATTAGTCCATTCAGGATCAGGCTAACTATGTTATACTGGGGTCTTGACTTTCACCTATATCAAACTCTGTATTTGACAGATACATTTTTAACTGAAGAGTCATAAAAACGACATGTATGAAATATTAAACACAATACAGGAAGTGGTATGAAGAAGGCATGAAATGATAAAAGATGAAGATACTGCTTTTTTTTTTTTAAGAACAAATGACTAAAATCTCATATAGCACAAAGTTTTGGCTTTTAGGAGACACTTGTCCTTTTCTTGCTCCCCCAGGCTCCCGGCCCCAAAAGTACATGTCAACGACAGCTTAGACCATTGGAGGTGGCCCCATTATTCTTATTCCAGTCACAAGTATTCTAAAATGAGAAATTAAAACCATCAGCCCAAAAACTAAGAAAAGCAAAACCCTGCTCCTACCTTTCTTCCCAACGTAACACCTGCCGTGTGTCCAACCTGGGCCAGCCTCTGAGAATGTACCTCAGGTTCTCTGTCCAGATACAACAACCTCCCCACAAACCCCACAAATGTGTCACCCAACTTAAATCTAGCAGTTTCTCTAAACCCTAAAGGCTTACCACTGAGAATTTTTGAGCAATATAACTAGTTCCCTTTTTATGTCAGAAATGTTCGCCCTTATTTTTGTGTCCTTAATGTGGATGTTATCTATTGTGAAATGTGCTGGAAAAGCAGTGGTTGTCACTTACAGTCTTTCATGTATCAGTGTGAGGATATAATTCATACACCCAAGTTAATATCCTGGCACTTAAAATCATTTGAAAAGTTCATTTTTCACCACGCTTGGTGGTACATGGCCTGGGATCCTGCTACATAGGAGTCTGAGTCAGATGGGCCAGCCTGTGCTATATAGCAAGAACCTTTCTCAAAAACAAGCAAAACAAAACAAATTGCAATGATGTGTTACACGGTATTGTTGCCCTCCAGAAACTAGGACTAATCATTTATAAAATAATCCTCCCCTTAAAGGAAGAAGTATTAGTCCATTTTCCATTACTGTAACAAATTGTTTCATGTTGTGTAATTTATAAAGAAAAGATGTTTGAATTCTTAAATGTAATTTAAAATTTCTTTATCTTGGCACAGGCTACAGTAACGAAGATAATTTCCATGGTGTTTCCAGTGAGTAGTAAACATGACTGCCTGCTCTGAAAATGGACTTGCTTGGATGATGTCAGAATATGAAAATCATGCAGAGAAAGATTAACCAGTAAGGGTGTGGTCATAGCATTGAATAGTTCTTGATTTGTTTGTTACAGAAATATGCTAAGCAGCTAAATTGTATAATTTTTTTCAAATTTAAAATTAACTTTATTGTACATTTTGACAAGTATTAACAAATCCAAATCCTCTGTGACCACATCCTCCCAGCTGGGGGTACAGTGTATTTTCATCACTCCCAAAATTTCCAATGGGTCTTTTTGCAGCCAATTTGACTCTCCACTCTGGATTCAAGAAGTCACTGGTAGGTTTTGTGTCACTATTCACAATAGTTCCTCCTCTAGAATTAATTGCAAGTGAATGGATTCAGTTACTTTGTGCTCTTTGTGTCTGGATATTTTTACTGGCAAGATTGTGAGACTTTTCCCTGTAGTTGATTGTGCTGCTTTTTTTTATTGTTGAGTAACATTCCATTGTGTGGACATGCTACAGTTTGCTTAATAATATACTGATGAGTTCTTATATGTTTTCCAGTTTGAGACTTCTTTTAGTTTCTTTTCTTACTCCTGTCACCAAATACCCGATGGGAGGATTTATTTTGGTTCACAGTTCATCATGGCAGGGAAGACATGGCAGCTAGGGTGGGTTGGTCCATCAGGGCAGAAGCTTGCAGCGGTGATTTTTTACACTGGCCCTGCCCAGGAGGCAGAATATTTGTATTTGTTTTTATTTACATTGGATTCAGGAGTGATGCTATTGGATTACAAGGTAAGTATATGTTTAATTTTTTAAGAAATCATGAAACTTTGCCAAAGTGGTTGTATAATTTATACATTTTCACAAAACCTCAGGTTTTATTTGAACACATGAATAATTTCTTTAGTTCTAATCAATATAAGTTTAAAATACCTGTTAACCCTTGCCCCAGCTATCATTTTTCTGATTTTTTTCTTTCATTTCTATGTATCTGTTAAAATTTTATGCAGCCTGATACAAACCTTTCACTCTTTATGTGGATTGCAGATATCTTCTCCCATTTGGTGGCTTATCTGTTGATTTTTCTGTTAAAAAAAAAAAACAACTTAGTTTTAAGGTTTAAAAATATATATTTTCTTAGTCATAGTTTTTGAGTTTTAAAAGCATGGCTCTGGCTTCTGCTGGTTCTAGTGAGGGTTTTCTGGGTACAACACAATTTGGAAGACAGCAAAATGGTGGGAAAGTAGGTAAGAGGTTAGATCACACAGTAAGGTAGAAAGACAATGATGTATTGACCTAACTCTAGACTGCACCTCTTAAACTTTTCATAACCTCTACACTCTCATATTGAAGATCACAACTTCAAGACATGAACTTTGGGGGGCAGACCCCATCCAAACAATGGCAAAAAGGATAAGGAAGTTGTTGGCAATTTTCATTCCATAAACCAAGCAATGTGCTGTGTGGCCTTGATAAAATAAAGAGTATACAAATAGCCCTTAGGGGGGTTATAAGCTACTGGAAAATTCAAACAAGTCAATACACAAGTAAACATACTGTTAAAATCCTGGATGATCAGTTCTCTGAAAGGAAAGTTGACGATCCTGAGATGTCATAGAAGAGTCAATGATCCCAGCTTGGAATTGAAGAGGAGACTTCCCAGAGATTATGATATTAGACTTGATGAAGGAGCAGGAACCACCCAGATGTGGGAGAACGAGAAGATGGAGGAAGATCTTCACATTGGCCCTGTAGTCCTCCCTTCCAAACTGCTGCAGAGGGCCACCATGGTGCAACCCTTTCACCTGAAGACAGACGGGGTAGACTGAGGTAGTTCTCTGGTTCCAGGTGATGCAGAGTTGCAAGCTCTGTGTAGCTTCTTCAGCTGTGATGTGTGTCATCAACAACTGAAGGTGTCCCAGTGATCTAAGCTATATGACTTATTGGCAGGGTTTGAGATATAAGGGGATTTTAGAAGCAATGATTTTGGGGGGTGCTCTTAGTCTTGTTTCCCCCCATACTAATGAGACTTAGCCTAGGTAACCTCTCTTGGTGTTGGATCTGATCAAACCTAGAGGCAGTCACAGCATTGCAGTAGGTCCTAGACTCTGGGCTCAGTGACCTGTACAGCTCTTTGTTACCAGAGATTTTAGGGTCAGAGCCTGAAATTAAGAACCCTAACAAGCTAGGTTGGGCCACCGATTCTCAACAGGTCAATTAAAGTGATGCATAATAGTGAAAAGCAGAAAAAGGAGATTTATCAATGAGTCTGCACTGGGAAGAGAAACAAAGAGTTCAGTGAGCTTCTCCACCCTCAAGTCCTTCTTCAGGGTCCTGACATGAGGTTTAGGTTTAAATAAAGGGCAGGATGTATGGATGGATGGCTATTCCATCCTGGTCGAGGAGTGTTCCTGCCCATCACGAGCTCATTGTTTGGGCACTAATATCACCTATAAGGTGATCTGACAAGTTCTCAGGGCTGTTAGAAATCTTGTTCGAGGAGACAGATTGTTGTTCCTCTGTCTAGTGCCAGGCCTTTACCTTTTGCTTTCTACAGCATGAAATTTGTGATGGGAAATTCAAGTTCTTTGGGGACCATTGTTTCAACTGTCTGATAGCCAAAGGGAAGGGCACAAGTGTCTCTTTAGAATATCCTCCTCATTACTTCTAAGGACAGCTACACTTTAACCTGGAATTGTGGCATACATTCACTCTCTATGCCACAGTGGATAGCAATCACACATAGTCAAGATTTGAGCTGTGAAGCTCCCTGACAGCATAGGCAACAATTTAGCCATAAATGTGACCCAGAAGGAAGGGACAAAGTACTAACTCGGCACAGGAAAAGAGAAGGCTTGGGCCCAAGAGATCAGGATGCAATTGCTGTTGGGATTCTAGAACCATTAGGGCACAGTCCAACCTAGCTCCTTATGATAAAGCAGCATACAGTGGTAACTCTCAGTCTTGCTATGGTTGGACAAGGTAGTGACCTGTGAGGTCAGTTGTCCTGGCATCCAAATTTTAAGGCAGGTAAGACAGTTCTGGTTTTGGCCAAGGGAATCAGGGAGAAGTTCAGGAGTGTGTCTGCTCACTACCTGGGGAAGCAGAGCATCTATGTAGCCCAGATTCCAGGAAGCTAGTTCAGTTCTAACAAGGCAAGGAGTCCTGGTTCTCTGGTATAGGAGTTACTAGAGAAACTGGAGTGTCCTCTTGGGGTTCTTAGTCTTGTTAGTAAAAGAAATAAGAACAGACTCAGAAGAGAGCTTGAGGACAATTTTGTTAGAATTGTGAAAAACTCTGAAGCAGGCAACCCATAAACCTCAGCAGCTGTGTGTAGAAGGAGATAGAGAAGAAGGGAGGAAGCTGGCCATGTGAGTCAGACATGGAGGTCAGATAGCAGCTACAGGGTCAAAAAGAGGGGGCTGGCAGAGGGCTTCAGAGAAAGAGTGAAGAAGTCCAGAGTACCTCTAGAAAGCTATACTTAGGAGCTAGTGAGCACCTGAACAAGACAGAAGAGAAGAAAGAGGAAAAGTTTCTGAGTCTGACTCAGAAAGGCAGGCAGACCTAACAGCCTCAAGGCCGCTCTACAAAGACTGCGCTGCAGGTGTGAATTCTGGGAAGGCAAAGTACATTATCTCATTGAAGGGGTAATTATTGCTTCTGCCTCTTTAGCCTAGCTGAAGGTGGTCCCACCTTCCTGAATGGTGCTCCCTTAGCCAAGTAATTGACCTGTCCAACTGAATGTTGTCTCCACCCAGGTCAAAGACTCCATTTCTCAAGGCCAGAAGGAAAGTTTTTTCCCTTAATGGGCCCTTAACACAGAGAGCACTGAGACACAGCTCAGCCAAGCCTCCAGTCCTCCAGAAAATGGACGTTCTCGGAGGTGTACCTGCTTGGTGCAACCATGGCATTGCTTCCCCCATAGAAATGGTACCATGTCCAAGAGGGACAACTCTGTGTGTGTGTGTGTGTGTGTGTGTGTGTGTGTGTGTGTGTGTGTGCATATAACTCAACAGTCAAGAAAATGCCCCACAGACATGGCCACAGGCCAGTCCAATGGAGGCAATTCCCCAGTTGAGGCTCCATCTACCCTAGTGGGTCAAGTTGACAACTAAAGCTATCCAGCACACTCAGTTAAACACTTAGGGCTTCTCTAGATTGATTCCACACAAGTAGACAAAGGGGCAGTTAGTACAGACACTTAGAAACTGATTTCACTAAAAAGCATAGATTCATTTGGATCTACAAGGTAACTAAAATAAGGTCAAAAGTCTGGCATCTCTGCTGTCATCCATTTATCTATCTATCTATCTATCTATCATCTATCTATCTATCATCTATCTATCTATCTATCTATCTATCATTGTATATCCATCCTTATATCTCTCCTCTATGCATCTATCTTCATATC